CCCGCCCCCCGCTCAATGCTGACCCCTTCCTTCTGTTCACCCTTTTGTTTGGCATTTATGTGTGTTTTCAAAAAGGAGTCGAACTGAGAAGATGCCATGCTGCAGGGGCAATGGGCAATGGGGCAGGGGGACATGACAAGATGATCCCATTCACGACCTTCAAGAGCCATTGGTGAACATTTTTGCCTTTGGTGAATGCTTTTGTTCAATGACATCGGAATTCATGAATGTCAATGCCATGACTGCCGTGAACACTTTTGTTCAATGACATTCACAAGTGCCGTGAATGCCGCAAAAACTTTTGTTCGATGAGATTCATGAATACCATGAATGCCGTGAACACTTTTGTTCAATGACATCGGCATTCGTGAATGTCATTGAACAAAATTGTTCACCAAACTGGAGGAGGGGGCCATGCTGCCATTGCTGAAACATTTCTGTTCAATGACGTCCTTCAGTTCGGTTTTGTTGATCTTTGTCGTCCGCATTCATGAATGTCACCAGGGGGGAGGTGAAATGAGAGGATGCTGTTGTGGTAGGGGAGGGGGGCCTCGCCCCATCCTCCCTTCCACCATTCCACCCCCCTCCCCCCCAGGCCTCATCCCCTCCTCCATGCCCCCCGGGGGCGCTCAACTGCCCGGTCCGGTTTTGTGTGTCGTAGTCATTTGTCACCCATATAACCTCTATTTGCTCACTGCCTTCAGGGTAAGGGGTGAAAAAGATTGACTACAACTATAATCATACGAGAACAGAGTAAGATGATGCAAGAAGTGATTCTTCTGTTCCTTCTTTTTGGGGGCGGAGTCTTTGTTTGTGGCCGAGAAAAGATCGTGCAAGAGGCCGCCGTGGTGAAGTCGGAGATGTAACGACAGCGTTGTCGGAGGGCGAACTACTTTTGGCTGAGGACGCATACCCGGATGCGTGCAGTTTGCATGCTTTGAGAGGCAGTTTTAATGCGCATCACCATGGATTGAAATGCCGACAGCACGTGCACACGTGCAAGGATGTCTACGGGTGTTCGTAAGAAGTACGAGTGATGTGCCTTTCGCTTCTGATCCACAAGGCTTATGGCCGCTCCCCAGATGTTGTGATTGGGAGACGACATATCATTTATGTATGCCGCAAACGGGAGATGATATGAGGAGTTCATGAAGTTCATTGCATCCAAGCATGCAGGTAACCGTTGATGCTTTTGTTCGGCATCCATGTATGTCGGCAACAAGATGGATGTCGGCAATGGGAGACGACTTGAGTAGACGTCAGTGTGACCCCAGAGAGGGTTCGTTGTGTTATGCTTTTGTTCAGCATCCATGTATTTCGGCAGTGGGAGACAACTTGAGCAGATGTTGTTGTGGTGGGGGAGAGGGGGTGGGATACCCCTGCCACAAGGGCTCCACTGTCGAAGCTTAAAGATTACTTTTTGAGGCCTCTCTCAAGCAGCCGGCCAAATTTTGGTGTAAGCTGCTTGTGTGTCCCCCGCCCATGGCGAAAGAATAGTACGCCACACGACCAAGCCTCTCCTTCTTTGGACCCGGTATTTACATTCAAGATGCTACTCCGCCGCCGGACCCAGTGAGCATAACTGATGGGTGCGGTATCTGTTACAGTTATGGGATGGACAGTCAGGAACAACGAATGAAGTTGTGTCTTTGTTTGGAAAGAAACAAAAAGGAACCAACATTGCACCCGTCCCGCATGCCCAACAATCTGCAATGCCACTGCAAGTGCCCCAAAAAGGGCCCGGCGGCACTACTCTCCACATGTGTTAAATAATGAATGCATCTTTAGGTAGAACATAGAATGATACATACACCGTCTTGCATATCCAACAATCTTCAATGCCACTGCTAATGCCTCATTCTTCTTCTTCTTCTTCTTCTTCTTCTTCTTCTTCTTCTTCTTGTCCTCCTCCTCCTCCTCCTCCTCCTCCTCCTCCTCCTCCTTCAGAAATTGCTTTCTGCCCCTGTGTCTGCTTCTTCCTTATGCCTCTTCTGCTTCTTGTCGGTGATTCTGATTCTTGTCAGAGATTCTGGTTCTTGTGGTTGTTAAAAAAAAATTGTTTCTGCATCTTCAAGAGGCATCGATCAACCACTCAATTTTTTCTTACTTTCTTATCTTAATTCTTCTTATCGCAAAGGTGCGCATAAAACAATGTTTCTGCGCAACAAGAGCATGACTGAGCATTTACAAAGGAACAAATATATCTGTATTCTGAAACCACCCACAAACTGTGGTGTTTTCATCTGCGACTGTGCCTTTCCACAAAGCTGACCAAAAGGAGGAGTCTTGATGCCTCCTTCCCAAATGTACCAGCTTCGATAGCTAACCAAGGAAGAAAAGAACATGTAATGCAATCAGACAGCCGTCCCTCTCTCCCTTACTCTCCTGCTTTTTTCCGAGCTCGAGAACAGCTCTGCCAGCTTCGGCTGCAGGTGGTCGACACCTACCCGAGATGGAAAACGTGGGATCAAGTTCGATCATTACTCAATAGCTAACCATCGAAGAACAGAAACATGTACTGTAATCAGACAGCTGTCCCTCTCTCCGTTACTCTCCTGCTTTTCCTGAGCGCGGCAGCAGCTCCACCAGCTTCTGCTGCAGGCGGTCGACACCTATCCGAGGCGGAAAACGTGGGATCAACACCTCCGACCCATCGTCCACAACCTGTTTCAGGACTGGGATTTCATACTGGTACAAACGATCCCATTCAGGATTAGTTGTGATGTCTCTCACTTCTAGATCCATGTCCATCAAGGGGTTTTCGACGCCAGCTATGGCAGCTGCGGCATGGATCTTTTCCTTCAGTCCATCGCAAAGGCAACATCCTGGTTTGCTGTACAAGACTAGTTTCAGAGGCGTACGATCACCTTGGTCTCCAGTTCTAGGTCCAGTTGCTGGTCCTGGTTTGGTTCTTGACTCCATTCCTGGTCCTTGTTCAATGGCGCTTCCCCTGGTACTAGATCCATGGTGCCTTGTCGTGCGAATGCGGCAGCTATGGAATGCCAATCTCCGGTCAAAAAGAAGGGGATGTAAAACCTTTGCAGCCTTATGATCAACTCGATCTTCCAACCCGGATCGAATGACAAAACTTCCACCAGAGTCTGCGAGAGGAGTCCGAAGAAGGACAGGGAATGTGGCTCGAGCCATGCTGCTACTCGGATCTGACGACGAACCCCGCACAAGGGTACTTGTAACGCAAGACGAGCAGGAACGGCGCAGAGCAAAGCATGCACAGCCCGGAAGGACTTCCGTCGACTGACAAGGCCATCTCTTCCTCTTGACCGTGACATTATTCTTCGCTTTGCAGGGACGAAGAGGCCCGTTGGTCAGCATCCCGCGATGGCATTCGCCATGACTCTCTGAGAACCTCGGTGTACCGACCCCGATTCCAACAGAGAGAGCCCCGATCCCAACGACATTGCATGTGTTCGTCGCCTTCCCTCCACCGATGAGGAAGTGCTTTGTCCAGGATTGAATGTCGTGTGACAATTCAGCGGTGCGTGACGCTGAAAGTGTCACACACCGTACCGTACCAGCGATAGAAGAAGACATCAGCTGCTGTTCCGCCGCTCGCTTCAAGTCCCTTCTTTTCCGCCTTGCAGCACGGCCTCTTACAGGATCCGGGACTTCGTTCTGGTCCTGATTTCGGTCCCGATTTTGGTCCTGGTTCTGATTTCGGTCCTGGGTCAACTGCGCTTCGACCTTTTTGCAAGCAAACTCCTGATTTCAGTCTTTGTCGTGGCCCGCCCTTACTCCGAGAGGAAGGAAGGAAGGAAGGAGCCTTGCCTCACAAGCAATCGCCTGTAGCCATCACGACCACCATCACCACCACCACCCTCATTATCATTGTACCCTTGCAAAAAGGGGCAGAAGGGTATGCTGACCCCCCCCCTGACCCACCCACCCACCCTCATTATCATTGCAAAAAGGGGCAGAAGGGTATGCTGACCCCCCCCCTGACCCACCCACCCACCCTCATTATCA